TCTTAAAACATACTAGCTGGGGAATTCTGGGAGTTGAAGTCCACATAGCTTCAAGGGGCCAAGGGTTAGCAATGCTGTTTTATACCCTGAATGTCCCAATTCGGTTTAAGATGTGTTAGGATAAAATCATGATCTATCATACTGTAAAGTATTGAAATTTAATTCTTTCTCTACCCTTCCAGCTGCTTGGCATGTTCGAAGACAACTTCCCCGAGAGCCTTAAACATTTATTTGTCATTAAAGGTGAGCCTCAGTCCTTCCTTGCTGGAACATGCATTTTGTTTGCAGAAAAAGGTGTCATTTTTCTCTCGACATAATCCTCCTTTGTTTCTCCTGCCCATCCTACAGCTCCGAAACTGTTTCCCGTAGCTTACAACCTGGTGAAGCACATTCTGAGTGAAGATACCCGGAAGAAGTTAATTGTCCTGGGAGGTAGGTTGCGTTATTGTTATTATTATTATCTCTTTTATTCATTAAACATGAAACTCTGTCAACTGAACATTTAAAAATGTATCACAAATATTATGTCAACTTGCAAAGCTTTCAAGTTGCCATGAGCAGGAGGGAGGGAAGAACTGATGGAGCTGATTGATTTCCCTAACTGAAGCTACATTCCACAGATGCTTTCTTACCACAATCAGTAGGAGAGTGTTGGGTTTCACAGCCAGCCAAAGTGGTTAATTGGAGAATGTGATTTACGACATGGCCAGGGAGGAGGGGAGAGACAGGGTCATAGGGGAACGTAAATCTACATGGGATTAGTTCTAACTGCATCCGAATATTGCCGAAATGGTGTTCCTAATAAATGACTGTATTTCTTTTGAAGTTTGGCTCATGGCTCATGAATTAATTAGGGCATCTTTGGGAAACTTCACATATTATTAACAGGCACTGATGGTTGATACGGGTTGCTGCCAGCATCCTAGGTATCGACCAAGTATCTTCTTAAAATATGCGATGTTCCGAGTAGCACAGTTTTTTGCAGTTCCGCTGGTATTATTGCAGGAAGTTGCAATTTCTTGATGTACTGTGTAAAAATTCTTGGACATGGTACCAAGTGCCCCAATGACAATGGGTATCACTGTCACATGTTTCATCCATAATCGGGTAGCTTTGATGGCCAGGTCGCGATATTTCATGGTTTTTTTTTCTAGTTCTTTTTCTTCGACTCTGGCGTCTCCTGGTACAGCGATAGCAATAAATTGTACGCTTCGGTTTTTGATAACCGTGATATCTGGTGTGTTCCAAATGATGATCTGTCTGTATGTGAAAGTCCCACAAGATGATGATGATGATGATGATGATGATTGCACTTTGCTTGTTTAATTTCCTGTTTCTAATACACCAGTGACAGTTACATTTGCTTCCCCTTTTTTAGAGTTGGTCTGTATTAATTCATATTTGGCTTTAACTTTTTAAATTATATTAATAATGTTAGTTCCTAGTACAGTGTTTCTCAACCTTGGTAGCTTGAAGATGGGTGGACTTCAACTCCCAGATTCTGGGAGTTGAAGTCCACCCATCTTCAAGCTTCCAAGGTTGAGAAACACTGTCCTAGTAGGTCATTTCTGTCTAAAACAATGCTCTAAACACGAATATTTAAAACCGAGTTAGTTCAGCTAAGATTACCATTGTCCCTTGAGGCATTTCCAAACTTCACCGCTTGCATTTTTTAAAAATCAAAATGTTCAAAATGTTTTGGAGCTACTCAGCAACTCAAACCAAGCACCTTATGAAAAAGAGCATCATTTTTTTTTTACTTATTTTTTTTTCTCCTAGCAAATTGGAAGGAAGACTTACAGAAATATATTGATCCCTCAGAGATCCCCATGATATATGGGGGGACCCTCACGGATCCTGATGGAAACCCGAAATGTGAATCCAAGGTATGGAATGATTTACCGGCCACTTAAAACCAGAAACGTTTGCAAAATCAGCCGCTGGCAGTTGGAAAAATGTGGCTGTTAAAAGTCACCATTCACAGAATGAATGAATGGATGGATGGATGGAACTCAAATCCTTTGGCCGCCTAATGAGAAGGAAGGTCTCCTTGGAGAAGAGCCTAATGCTGGGAACGATGGAGGACAAAAGAAGAAGAAGGGGACGGCAGAGAACGAGGTGGCTGGATGGAGTCATTGAAGCAGTTGGCATGAGATTAAATGGACTCCGGAGGATGGTAGAGGACAGGAAGGCCTGGAGGAACGTAATCCATGGGGTCGCAATGGGTCGGACACAACTTCGCAACTAATAACAACAAAAATGGGTGGACTTCAACTTCCAGAATACCTGGTTGGGGAATTCTGGGCGTTGAAGTCTGCACATCTTAAAAGATGCCAAGGTTGTAAAATACGGAGGTTATGTTTTCTGGTGGCTCCTGATCCGTTTCACAGATACGTTCCGTGTTCTAGATATGCCTCGGCGGCGACGTCCCCAAAAAATACTACGTGCGAGATCAGCTGAAGCAACAGTACGAGCATTCGATTATGGTGAACCGGGGTTCTTCCCAGCAGCTGGAGTACGAGATCCTTTTTCCGAACTGCGTCTTGAGGTAGGTCAAGGGGGAACTCGGCAGCATGGGGAAGAAGGGGAAGGAGGAGTTAGGGGCCTTCAAAGAATTTGGTGAGATGGACATGAGGGTCTTCTTGTATCTCAGCGTCTTACCCTTCACACCTGCCAGGTAGGCTGGCAGAGAAGGGGCAGGTCAGGGGCATCCAGGAAACTCCAGGGCTGGCCAGAATAGAATAAGAATTTAGAATAGAGTAGAGTAGAAATAGAATGGAATGGAATGGAATAGAATAGAATAGAATAGAATAGAATAGAATAGAATAGAATAGAATAGAATAGAATAGAATAGAATAAGAATTTAGAATAGAATAAGAATTTAGAATAGAGTAGAGTAGAAATAGAATGGAATGGAATGGAATGGAATAGAATAGAATAGAATAGAATAGAATAGAATAAGAATTTAGAATAGAATAAGAATTTAGAGTAGAATAAGAATTTAGAGTAGAGTAGAATAAAAATAGAATAAAACAGAAATAGAAATAGAATAGAATAGAACAGAATAAGAATTTAGAATGGAATGGAATAGAAATGGAATGGAATGGAATGGAATAGAATAAGAATTTAGAATTTAGAATAGAATAAGAATTTAGAGTAGAGTAGAATAGAAATAGAATAAAATAGAAATAGAATAGAATAGAATAAGAATTTAGAATAGAGTAGAATAGAATAGAATAGAATAGAAATAGAATAGAAATAGAAGTAGAAATAGAATAGAATAGAATAGAAATAGAAGTAGAAGTATAAATAGAGTAGAATAGAATAGAATAGAATAGAATAGAATAGAATAGAATAGAATAGGAATTTAGAATAGAGTAGAGTAGAATAGAATAGAGTAGAATAGCATAGCGTAGCATAGCATAGCATAGCATAGAATAAAAAAATAGAATAGAACAGAACAGGGAATGGAATGAAATAGAAACAGAAATAGATATACTAGAAATAGAAAGAAATAGAAATAGAATAACAGAGTTGGAAGGGACCTTGGAGGTCTTCTAGTCCAACCCCCTGCTCAGGCAGGAAACCCTCTACAATCCCAGACCAACGGTTGTCCGATCTCTTCTTCTGATTGATTTGTCTTCTGCTGCTGCAAATCGAAGGTGGCAGTTCATGTCTGACGGGGCCGATATAGGCTTTGGCGTCTACCTGAAGACCAAGGTGGGGTCCCGCCAGCACGCCGGGGAGATGACTGAGGTGTACCCCAACCAACGCTACAACGCACACCTGGTCCCTGAAGACGGTAGCCTCACCTGCCCAGACGCCGGAATCTGTGAGTCGCCTCTGCCCCCGCCCCTGATGCTTTTCCTGGGAGATGTTTTAGGTAGAAAGAATTTGGTGGCTTCCAAAGGTTCTGCTCGGTTATTAGATCTTGGAAGGCGCCAGCTCTGAAGGATGTTGGAAACCTAGAATAATAGCTTTGGAGGTCATCAAGTCCAGCCCCCTGCTCGAGCAGGAGACCCTTCACCATGGTGAACCAACAGCTGTCCAAACTCTTCTTAAAATCCTCCAGTGATGGAGCACCCACAACGTCTGGTGGCAAGCAGTTCCACTGGTTAATTGTTCTAACTATCAGGAAGTTTCTCCTTAGTTCCAGGTTGCTTCTCTCCTTGATTAGTTTCCATCCATTTTTATTTTATTTTTTGGCCTGCCTTCGGATGCTTTGGAGAATAGCTTGACTTCTTCTTCTTTGGGGCAGCCCCTCAAATATTGGAAGATGCTATCCTGTCTCCCCTGGTCCTTCTCTTCACTAGATTAGCCATGCCCAGTTCCTGCAACCGTTCATCGTATATTTTATTCTCCAGGCCTTTAATCATCTTAGTTGCTCTTCTCTGCCCTCTTTCTAGAGTCTCAACATCTATTTTTTTTTATCATGCGGCGACCAAAACTGGATGCCGTATTCCAGGTGGGATCAATGCCTGATGATCTCTTTTTCTTCTGCCCCTACCCCACCCCAGATGTCCTCCGCTTCGACAATACTTACAGCTACCTCCACGCCAAGAAAATCAGTTACACGGTGGAGGTTTTACTCCCGGATAAGAAATCGGAAGAGAAGTTCCAGGAGTTGGACGGAGAGACCCAGAAAATGGAGAACAACCACGCGTGATGAAGATGGCATCTTCGGCGGGCCTCACCCCTGTTCTCCCAGCCACCTGGGGGTGGGGGGTGGGGGGGTGGGAGAGGTGGGCATCCTCCAAAAGTCTTCTTTGGGGGCGGAAGGTCGGACGGTCAGGGAGCTTCAGGACTTCCAACGACGTTGGCAGCGGACGGAGAATCGGTCCCTTGGACCCCAGAGTTTTATAGAAAGGGGTCCCCGTGGCCCCCAGCGCCAATCGGTTCAGAACATAGACAGTGGTGGGATTCAACCGGTGTTAACAACCGGTTCGCTGAGCGCGCACTTCACTCGCACACTGTTTGAAAACAGCTCTAAAACGTACCTTCTACTTCAGCCCCTCTGGTGAAGTAGAATTCAGTAGAATGGTGCAGCCAGCTCCAGAATTGTCTCATGGAAAGGTGGTATTCAGCCGGTTCGGACTGGTTCGGACTGTATTCAGCCGGTTCGGACTAGTTCTGGTGAATCTGTAGCGGAAATTTTGAGTAGTTTGGAGAACCGGTAAATGCCACCTCTGGCTGGCCCCAGCCTCGCCCCTTCCAGGAGTCCCCAAATGCACCCCATTTTGGCTCCCAGGTAACTGCAGGGAAGCAAAACGGGGCATGGGGGTGTATGCGGTGCGCCCCCCCCGCAGTCCGTTTTTGCTCCCAGGGGGCTGCAGGGGGGCCTAGCCTGTAAGGCTGGGGCACCCAATTGATCTATTCGCTGCCTCCCAGCCTCCCAAGTGATTGGCAGGGTCTTGTTTTGTTGCCCTGCACAGGAGAACGGAGCTGGAAAGCAGGTTAACGGGGTGGGGAGGGAATGGGGATTTTGCAGTATCCTTCCCCTAGGAGTGGGGATTTTGCAGTATCCTTCCCCAAGAGTAGGGTGGGAATGGGGATTTTGTAGTATCCTCCCCCCCCAGAAGTGGGGAGGGAATGGGGATTTTGCAGTATCCTTCCCCCCCAGAAGTGGGGAGGGAATGGGGATTTTGCAGTATCCTTCCCCCCAGAAGTAGGGAGGGAATGGGGATTTTGCAGTATCCTTCCCCCCAGAAGTGGGGAGGGAATGGGGATTTTGCAGTATCCTTCCCCCCAGAAGTGGGGTGGGAATGGGGATTTTGCAGTATCCTTCCCCCCCCAGAAGTGAGGAGGGAATGGGGATTTTGCAGTATCCGTCCCCCAGGAGTGGGGAGGGAATGGAGATTTTGCAGTATCCTTCCCCTGCCACGCCCACCAAGCCACGCCCGCAGAACCGGTAGTTAAAAAAATTTGAATCTCACCACTGGTCTCATGCAATTTGAATTAAAAAGAGTAACCTCCTGACAGTGGTGGGATCCTACCGGTTTAACAACGTTCGCTGAGTTTGCAGAAAACCGAACTCCCGCGTTGCTGAGAGCAAGGAAACCAGCTGAGGAGCGGCATTCCACTCTGCCGCCCCATCAGCTGCGCTCCGGAAGCAGAAATATAGGTAAGTATAACGTAGGGGCGAGCCAGCGAGGCCACTTCAACGAAAGAGAGAACCAGTACGCTCACGTACTGCAAATCGGAGCAAACGGTTCTCCCGAACCGGTCCGAACCGGTAGAATCCCACCACTGCCTCCTGACCACCTTTGGAAAAAGGGCGGTGCTTGCACAAATTTCTCCAGGCTTAATTTTGTGCAGGATGGAGCCTCCCCTTTTCCCCAAAATAATGCCATTCTTACAGAGCAGGAATTAAAAGAAAAGAAAGATTAAAAAACCCAGGAACATTTTTTTTTAAAAAAACCCAACCTGAATATATTTGGGACTGCATGTGAACTGTATACGGTGTATCTGGATGTATGTCTGGTCTGTAGGACAAATACAAGCCTTTTATACTTCAATATCTCTGCCCAAATTCACAACTGTACAGGAAAAGATAATTTAATTTAAAAAGAAAAAAAATCAACGGAACTAATAAACGGCGGGCGAATTGATCTCAGTCTGTCTTGCGCTGCAGAGGATTTTGAAACGGCTTGTCCTCTCTAATTTTTTGTTCCTTTGTTTGCACCATCGTCTCACATTTTTGTGCACAAGTCACTTGCTTTGATTTATTAGTCATTATTATTTAATTATAATAAGTTATAGTTATAATGGTATTTGTTAATTATGGTAATGGATTCTCCAGTGAATTAAAAACTAATTTAATTAATCCGTGGAATGGCTTGCCTCGGAGCATTTTAAGAAGAGACTGGAGAGCCATTTGTCCAGAATTGTATAGGATCTCTTACTTAAGCAGGGGGTCGGACTAGAAGACCTTCATGGTCCCTTTTCCTTTCCTTTCCTTTCCTTTCCTTCCCTTCCCTTCCCTTCCCTTTCTTTTCCCTTCCTCTTCATTCCCTCCCCTTCCCTTCCCTTCCCTTCCCTTTCTTTCTTCTCCTCTCCTCTCCTCTCCTCTCCTTTCCTTTATCCTTTCCTTTTTCCTCTCCTCCTCTCTTCCCCTTTTTCCTCCTTTCCTTCTCTTTTCCTCCTTTCCTTTCCTTCCCTTTTCCTCCTTTCTTTTCCTTCCCTTCCTTCCCTTCCCTTCCCTTCCCTTCCCTTCCCTTCCTTTCCTTTCCTTTCCTTTCCTTTCCTTTCCTTTCCTTTCCTTTCCTTTCCTTTCCTTTCCTTTCCTTTTCTTTCCCTTCCCTTCCTCTTCATTCCCTTCCCTTCCCTTCCCTCCCTTCCCCTCCCTTCTCTCCCTTCCCCTTCCCCTTCCCCTTTCCTTTCTTTTCCTTTCTCATTTATCTCCTTCTCTTTCTCTTCCCTCCCCTCTCCTTTCCTTTCCTCTTCCTTCCTTCTCCTTCCTTCCTTCCTTCCTTCCTTCCTTCCTTCCTTCCTTCCTTCCTTCCTTCCTTCCTTCCTTCCTTTCCTTCTTCTGCCTCCCTCCCTCCCTGCATCTTTCCTGCTCCGAGCCTTAAACCCAAGTTTTTTCCTACCGTGTCTTCATTGCAAGCAGCGGCTATAACAACGTTGCCGGACATGGGCTGCAGATGCCCTGAACATCACAAGGGGGCAGCAAAGAGGTCCTGAAAACATCTAGCGATCCTTTGAATTCTACAGTCCTGAAAGAAAACAACAAAAGGGAACTTGGCTGGTTGCTAATGCAGGGAGCTGGAAAAAAACACAAAAAGGGACAGAACTATGGAGAGCAGGACACTTTTCATTTACTGTATTTTATTTATTTAAATGTATTAGCCTTCAACTCCAGCAGACTCCGCAGCCTACAAAACTAGAAAAAAAAAAGGAGCTAAAAGCATTGTCAGACCATTTGCAGCATGACTACTATTAGGAGACAACTCAGGAGCAAAACACAGCGCACAGAGATTTAAGACATTGAACAGTGGTTTATATACAAGACATATACAGAAATATTCATGGTTGACAAATACCTGACAAGCAATCCATCGTCTTCTTAACTCTACCCGGAGAACTCAGCAATGAATACCGGACACAAGGAGAGAGAATACGCCCTCTCCTGGCTGAAATGTATAAACACCTCTTAAAGGGGTAAAAGGCTTGTGTGGACCCCGTCAGAGTCTTAGAAGAGGCTACACCAATGCTGATTCATTCTCATTGCATCAGCCTTACATTTCATCAGGTTTACAGTTGCATTAGCCTTACATTGGCTGCTCAGCTTTAAATCATCATTACCCTGACAAGCATCAAATCCGACAGCCCAGACGAATGTGATTTCCCCTGTCATGCGAAGCCCCTCTTTTCCGAAGCTTGTTAAATAAACTGAAACTGGTCGGATTCACATAGGGTACAAAAGTGTAAACTCCCGTTTACAAACCCCGAAGTTCCATTCACGGGACACGCAAAGCCAGAATCAAATGCCGTGGCCCATCTCATTTTATGAGCCCATAGGTCGAGTCTAATCGTGGCTTTCCCATTTTTTAAAATGGGAAATGTTAATGGGAAATTAAAATGTTTTAATCAAAGAGAAAATTCATTGTGTTGTTGTTTTTTTTCTATGAAAACTACCTCTGTCCATTTAGTAACATCTTTGCTCTTTAATTTATTAATTAATTTATTTTTAAATTTGATTTATATGCCGCCCTTCTCCGGAGACTCAGGGCGGCTTACAATGCGCTAAGCAATAGCCTTCATACTTTTGTATATTTTTACAAAGTCAGCTTATTGCCCCCACAAACTGGATCCTCATTTCACCCACCTTTGAAAGGATGGAAGGCTGAGTCAACCTTGAGCCTGGCGAGATTCGAACCTGCAGTAATTGCAGGCAGCTGGTCTTAATAACAGGGTGCTTTAGACCACTGTACTACCAAGGCTTTTGCAAGTTTGGTTAGTGTACTGTTTTCTTTTTTCCTCCTAGGTATTGCAAAAATTACTGCAGGGCTACATTATTATTCATTATTTGATTGATTAAATTTATTTGCCGTTCATCTTGTTTCAAATTCACTCTGGGCTGCTAACAGCATTAAAAGCGTTTAAAATCTTTTTTTAAAAAAAACAACAACAACCAAAGGCAGACGTTTGAACAAGCCGAAAGAGTGAAAATGCTTATTTTTGCGTCATTATTTTTCCAAGCAGAAATCAAACGGGGGCTTTAGAAACAGTTGGCTGGCTTTGACAACAAGGATTTAAAAATAAACGTCACGAGGAAACCAAGCAGAGCTCGAGAGTCGGAAAACCTGTGAAACGGGTTCAATTCGTGCCAGCTGGTCAACGCAAAGCAAACGGCAACAGCTTTGGGGTTGACGTACCCGAAAATCTGGCCTGAATTTACAATGCTTTTGATGATTGCGTGCCATTAAAAGCACCCGACGGTCAGGACAAGAAACAACGGATGGAAACTAATGAAGGAGAGAAGCAACCTGGAACTGAGGAGAAACCTCCTAACAGTGAGGACCATTAGCCAGTGGAACAGCTTGCCACCAGAAGTCGTGGGTGCTTCAACACTGGAGGCTTTTAAGAAGAAACTGGATTGAAATGGTATAGGGCAGTGTTGGCGAACTTTTTCGGCACTGAGTGCCGAAACGGGAATGCGCCTACGCTCGACAGGGGAGCACTGGAAACCGGAAGAACATACGTGCACCAGGAAGCTGAGTTTCTGGTTTCTGGTGTGTGCATTTGCACTGGTCATGTGGTCTTCCAGTTTCTAGCACGTATGTGCGTGCGAAGATCAGCTGGCCAGCGTGCATGTGTGCACCGTAAACCAGTAGCTCAGCTTCCCGGAGTCCGCATGCATGTCAGGGATCTGCTCTTCCGGTTTCCAGTGCTCCCGCGCATGTGAAGAGCAGTGGCCGGAACCTGGAAGAGCAACAGGCGATGGCTGGCGTGCCCGGAGAGATGGCTCTGCGTGCCACTGCCATCATACATGCCGTAGGTTCACCATCATGGGTATAGGGCAGGGGTGGGTTCTAAATTTTTTTACTACCGGTTCTGTGGGCGTGGCTTATTTTGTGGGTGTGGCTTGGAGGTCATGTGACTAGGTGGGCGTGGCTAGCTGGTCAGAGTCATTTCTGGAAGGTCCTCGCACTTACGACCAGTCCTCGCACTTACGACCCGACTCATTTGTTTGCTTTTAACACTGATCAGCTAGGACCGAGCCCTTTGAAGCCCCGCGGCAAGAGTTTAAACAGGTTTTTTCCCTCTAGTCATCAGCTGGGACTCAGGAGGCAGCAATAGATTGGGGGTGGGGCCAAACAAAGGTAAAAGGTAAGAATAACGTGGTGGGTGGGGGGGCAGGGGGGAGGAGAACCGGGTTCGGTGATGTCATATCGTCACCGCTACCGGCTCGGCCGAACCGGACCGAACCGGGAGGAACCCACCACTGGTATAGGGTCTGTTGTTTAAGTATGGGGTTGACAAGAACAGGGGTCTGCAACCTTAAACACTCAAAGAGCCATTTGGAGCCGTTTCCCACAGAAAAGAAAACACCGGGAGCCACAAAAACCTTCCCGTGCCTGATTATTTCCTGAGCTGCCACAAAACTAGCATATGTAGTTGAATCAAATGTTCTGTTTTCTTCTGAAACTTTTCTTGGATTTATCCATGGTTGGCCTACCGGGGGTTGAAAAGCTCAGTAAATCGTGTGCTGGTGGGTGTTGCACATTGGCGGTTGTGACGCATATTTTGAGTGACAGGGAGCCGCAGCAGTGGGGTGAAAGAGCCACATGCGGCTCCAGAGCCGCAGGTTGCTGACCTCTGGACTAGAAGATCTACAAGGTCCCTTCCAATCCGGTTATGTTCTATGTTCTATGCTGGTCCAGGAATGAGCCTCCGCTTGGACTCATGGCTTCCATAAATCTTTCTAACCATCTTTTATTTTTTTTTTAATTTTAAAACAAACTGTATTAAATTATCAAATAATTATAAAAACAATTAAAACCATAATAAGATATTCATATACGTAGATCATATCATATATTTGACATTTCATTTCTATTCTTTTACATAGCTATATATATTCTTCTTCTCTACACGTTATATATTTCTTAACCTAGTCCCATATTCATTTTCTTGACGGTGAAGTCGTTGTTGGTATTTATATGAAGCAAGCATGGAAATAAATTCTCAATTATCAGTTCTCAATTTAAAATTCACTATTAAAGAAAGGTAAAATTTAGTACTCATTAAGATTATCTATATGGTTTACCACGTATAGCCTTATCCACTTTCTTTTCGCTTAATCCAATCGTACCACTTGTCCCATACCTTAAAATACTTTCCTTATCCTTTAATTTCAGTCTAACCATCTTCTTTTATTTTCAAAGGAAGCCAAGTTATGGGACAAATGCGGCAACCAAGATTGTCTTCCCCAAATCTCCCAACAGGATCCAAGAACAGATATGAAGCTCAAACTTCTGTTTCCGGCTTTCTTTCTCCTAACTAGCATCTCTGCAGCAACTAAACTTCCCTTGTGTGGAACTGCCCAGATTCCACACAAGGGGAAATCTTCAAACCAGGATGAGAAGGCGTCGCTTGGCTGCCATCTAGTGGTTTGAACTGGATTTATTTTATTTATTTATTTATTTACAAATGTTTCTATGCCACCCTTCTCCCAAAGGACTCAGGGCGGCGAACACAAGTTAAAAACATACAATAATGAAGGAAAATCCTAATTAGAAAACCAATTAAAACAGGGACAAATAAATAATAAAACCCAAGAATCAGAATCAGCCCATTTGTTGAAACAGCCAAGTCTTTAGGCCTCGACGGAAGGATTCCCTGCCTATTTGATTTAAAAAAAAAAAAAGACACTCATGAATTTGGTTCCAGCTTTCAGTTGACATTGAAAATGAGAAAGGTCCTAAGTCATTTTTTCCAGTAAGTTTGAATGGTCACTAAATGAACTGTTGTAAGTTGAGGACTACCCTGTATTCTCATTTCCCAATATGCTACAAAAAAGGGTGTTACGGTGGGACACAATGAAGGAACCCCCTTTCTCAGCTTTGGCTCTTAGCTGCTCCCCCAAACCTTGCTGACTGGCTTCACCAAGCGCACTAAGCCTGAAACAGACCCTGCCCATGGCCTCTGTCCACTGAAGGTGCCCGACTGGGCAACTCTTGTTACTCTTATTACAGCGCCCACCGGCCTGAGCCTCTAACCTGGGACATTCCCCACCCGCTGCTTCATCCTGGGATTTTCTGGTTGGCCTAGCCCGCTTCCTGTAGGGACCAGAGTAGTGGCAGGTTGGAGGGCCCGGTGGTGGGAAGGTGCGCTGGCCTGGCCAGGTCTATGACAACTCACCAAAAGCAACTTGCTAAGGTCAACTCACCATGGCCAACTCACATGGCCAAACTCACCATGGCCAACTCACCATGGCCAACTCACCATGGCCAACTCACCATGGCCAACTCACATGGGCAACTCACCATGGCCAACTCACCAGGCCAACTCACCATGGCCAACTCACCATGGGCAACTCACATGGCCAACTCACCATGGCCAACTCACCATGGTCAACTCATATGGCCAACTCACCATGGCCAGCTCACATGGCCAACTCACCATGGCCAACTCACCATGACCAACTCATATGGCCAACTCACCATGGCCAAACTCACCATGGCCAACTCACCATGACCAACTCATATGGCCAACTCACCATGGCCAGCTCACATGGCCAACTCACCATGACCAACTCATATGGCCAACTCACCATGGCCAACTCACCATGGCCAACTCACCATGGCCAACTCACATGGCCAACTCACCATGGCCAACTCGCCATGGCCAAATCGCCATGGCCAGCTCACCATGGCCAGCTCACCATGGCCAACTTCACCATGGCCAGCTCACATGGCCAACTCACCATGGCCAACTCACCATGACCAACTCATATGGCCAACTCACCATGGCCAACTCACCATGGCCAACTCACATGGCCAACTCACCATGGCCAACTCACCATGGCCAAATCACCATGGCCAATTCACCATGGCCAACTCGCCATGGCCAACTGACATGGCCAACTCACCATGACCAACTCATATGGCCAACTTGCCATGACCAACTCATATGGCCAACTTGCCATGACCAACTCATATGGCCAACTCGCTGTGGCCAACTTGTCATGACCAACTCGCCACATGACAAGAGTTACACTAATATCAAAGAACTATAGAATAACTTTATTGTTACTTTGAATTGTAACTCATTGGCATACATTAAAAAGAAATTTTCTTGCATAGAATCTCAAAGGGTCTCCACCTTCAATATACACTACCTAACCATGACAGAATAAATAAATACAAAAAGTATGCATACCCACATATATTATACAACGGAAACAACACAGTCTCTCCAGCTCAGATGTACACATGTACCTGGTGAGAAAAACGAATCTTGCCAGCTTGCCAGATGGATGGCATAGGAAACAAAACTACTAGAATAGAATCACGAAAGGAAGGGTGCCAAAGGAGAGACCAAACGAAATACGAATGAGAAAAAAAAATAATAATAATAAAATATTTTTTTTAAATTATTTCCAAACAATTGAATGGTTGAATTGTCCCGCACGCAGCCAGCTGTGCGCCGTGGCGAATTGGCCATGCTGAGTTGTGTTGCCGTGGCGAATTGATCCATTCCGCCGGCGGCCGGCTGGAGCTCAGCTGCCCGAGAGGGGCCGAGCAGGAAGCCGTCCTCCAGCAGCGGCGAGACCGCCCTTCCTCCGCCTCTGCCCGCCCTCTCCGCGGCCAGTGGGAAGCGGCTTGGGCCGGGTCTTTGGGGCCGGTTCCTCGGTGCGCCGTGCGCCCAGGGCGCACCGTGGAGAGGCGGCGGGGCGCGTTCTTGCAGCCGCCGCTGGTGGCGAGCGAGGGAGGGAGGGAAGGAGGCATGGCCGGGCCGGGCGCCGCGGATCCCCCGCCGGACCTCTACCGGGACACCTGGGTGCGCTACCTGGGTGAGTATTCCGCGAAGGGGCGCCGCTTTCTCCGCGGCCGCCGGTCCAGAGAGGCTGGCCCGGTGCCCGCCGCGCTGCGCCCCGGGGGAGAAATAAAACGAGGCATCCGGGGAGCCAGCAGATCCTGCAATCCGAGTGGATCCCGGGCAAGGACTGGAAGCGGGGAGTGTATTGGGGATCCTTCCAGAGCAAAGGGGAATTGGGGGGGGGGTTGTGATCCCCAAAAGTGAAAGGGGATCGGTGTTGCTTTCGCTTTTGTAGGCGGAAGATTCGCCGACCTTCCCAAGATGCGGCCAGGAATCCGTAACGGTAACAAGAGTTGGAAATGACCTTGGAGGTCATTTAGTCCAACCCCCTGCTCACACAGTTCGCTGGTTCGAATCTCTGTGCTAGAGATTCGAACCGCCGAACCGCCCACCTTTTTGATGGACAAATCTTTTACCTTCGCACCACCTCTTTTTTTTTTTCTAAGCCCCATTAGAATCAAATCTGCTGTGCAGGTAGTCCTCGCCTTACAACAGCTCGGTTACTGACCGTTTGAAGTAACGACGGTGTGGGGAAAAAAGCGACTTAGGACCGCCGTTCACATTTAACGTCTGTTGCAGCCTGTCATTCACACTTAACGTCCGTTGCAGCATCGCCGGGCTCCCGCAACCCGAATTTGGATGCTTGGCCACGGAGTTATATTGATGACGGTTTAGGAGCCCCCAGTTATGATATGCTTGGCCGCTGACTCATATTTATGACGGTTTATTTATTGTTCGATTTATTGGTTCGATTTATATGCCGCCCTTTTCCGGAGACTCAGGGCGGCTTACAATGCGTTAAGCAATAGCCTTCATACTTTTGTATATACCTGCTTAGTAGGGCTTTCGGCCCCTCCTAAGCGGTGTTCTTTTTTATATAAAGTCAGCTTATTGCCCCCACAATCCGGGTCCTCATTTTACCTACCTCGAAAGGATGGAAGGCTGAGTCAACCTTGAGCCTGGTGAGATTTGAACTTGCAGTAATTGCAGGCAGCTGGTGTTACTTAACAGTGCTTTAGTCTGCTGCGCCACCAAGGTTGCAAGATCCCCCGGGGGGAATCACGTGATTTCCCCCTTTCGTGACAAGCAGAATCAATGGGGAGGCCAAATTCACTTAACAACCGGGTTACTAATTTAACAACTGTGGCCCAAAAGGGGCAAAAAATCCCTTAAAATAAATATTTCCCTTGGCAATAAAAAAAATGTTGTGGTCGCAAGTCGGAGATTAACTGTTCTCGGAGCACGTCTTGACCTGAATTAGTTTTAACCTTGATTGGGATTGTGGCCGTGTGGCCGTGTGTGAAATTGTGCGTAGCAGCAACATCATACTTTATTGTGGTCATAGACCAAAAAAACCCCAAAACATCCAAGACACGTAGCTGGCACACGACCAGACTGAAGTGCAAAACGGCAACAAAATCAGTGGTGGAAACCACTCCGTCAAACTCACAGTTCATGTATTGAAACTGTGAAAGCTTGAAATCTTTGGTGGCTTTATAAGCCTTGTGGGAACTTCAGGCTTCCTGAATTAGGTTTCTTGGCTAATTAATCTTGGCTTGGGTGAATGTGGGTTGTGTTTTTAAAGAAAGCCTCGGAGGAGGAAAAAAAAAAAAACCCGGCAAGGGGCAAGAGACAGGAGGGTGTTTGGGGTACAATTTAAGAAGGAAAGAAAGTGTGAGGATTTTTGGCGTGAAAGAAGACAACCGGAGGTGGAAGTGTGGCTCAAGGTGACTTTTTGGATCCCGAGAAGGGCTCTGCTTGAGGCAGGAGGAGGAAAAAGCTGCGTTTCGAAGGGCACAGCAGAGTGCAGAGTTGACAACATTTCTTTGTGCAACGACATAGCGAAATTTAATCCGGATCAGGATGCCCCTTTAGGGTAGGAGCAGCTGTCCAATCCAGATTCGATTTCTGATTTAATTCCATTGAAATTGAAATTGCTGATTGCCGAATCGGGATAGAACAAATTCAATTGGAGAGTGGAGAGGGCCTGTCTGCCCATCTAATCTATTAGAACTGATTTTTTTTTTATTATTTTATGGTTTGATTCAGGGGTGAAATGCTCCTGGTTCGGATTGGATCGCCCGATCCGGTAGTGATGGAGGCAGCTAGTTCGGAGAACCGGTAGCAAAAATCCCTGCCCCCCCCCGCCCATTGCCCAGCTGAACCGCGCAATCATCAGGCTGGGCTATCAACATAATAATTTTAAATTGGGGTATTTTAAATTTGTGAGGTTTTAAATTGAGCCAAATTTATTTAATTATTTTAAATTTTTAACTGCTGTTTTGTCTTGTGTTTTTAAATAGGCTGTACACCGCCCTGAGTCCTTCGGGAGAAGGGCAGTATAGAAATAAAATTATTATTATTATTATTATTATTATTATTATTATTATTATTATTATTATTATTATTATTTAAAAGCGTTTTTTCTACAACCTCTTTGGCCAAAAAAATGCTTCTAAAAGTAAAAAATAAAAGCCTCTGATGATCGCGCGGCTCAGCTGGGATCATCAGAGGCTTTTTTTTAAAAAAAAAGAAAGCCTCTGCTGATTAGGCAAGTCAGAGGCTTTAAAAGCATTTTTTTTTACAATCTCTTCAGCCGAAAGGGACCTTGGAGGTCATCTAGCCCAACCCCCTTTTCTCATGCAGGAGAGCTGCACTAGGGATTCGAACTGCCGAACTGCCGACCTTTCTGATCGACCACCTCAGTGTCTTAGCCACTGAGGTACGGCGTAGCAGGAGGAAAATCCGGGTCCCGATGGCTGAGGACGGCCTACCTCGCAGGGGGAGGCTGCGAAGCAGATTAAAATGCGGACGAGGGGGAAAACAGAGCTGAGTGGGCTTTGCTGTTTATTGCAGGCTACGCCAACGAGGTGGGAGAATCCTTCAGGGCCTTGGTGCCCGTTTCCGTGGTCTGGGCCAGTTATGGCGTGGCAACGGCCTACGTGACAGCAGATGCGGTCGACAAGGGTAAAAAAGCCGCAGCAGCTGTAAGTATGACAGCCGGAGGAGTCACATCCTGGCTTCGGTGCATCTTTTCTAGTTCAGGAAAATCGTGTGTGTTTTTTTTTTTAACCTCGGCGAGTTTTTAATAGCCGTGGACTACAACTCCCAGAATTCCTCAGCCGGCGCATGAGAGACTACCGCGTAAGGAGGCTGCGGTGATTGGTTCAATGAGGAGAAATAAGGACTGAGTCTCTAAATCCGTGATGGCGAACCTATGGCACGCGTGCCACAGGTGGCATGTGTAGCCGTATCAGTGGGCACCCCAGCTCAGCTCCAGTGCGCATGCCAGCTGATTTTCGGGCCTTCTGGGCCCACCAGAAGTAGGGAAACAGGCTGTTTCCTGCCTCCGGAGGGCCTGGAGTGGGTGGGGAAGGCCCGTTTTTCTTTCTCACCTGGATCCAGATCCTCTCTATGCATCTGGGGAGGGCAAAAACAACCTTCCCCATCCCTCCGGAGATCCTCCGGAGGCCCGAAATGGCCCGCATAGAATTATGGGTGTGGGCACACACACGTGCGCGAACCTCCCCCGCCCCCCCCTTTCTGGCACGCGATGGCAAAAAGGTTAGCCATCACTGCTCTAAATCTTTCTTCTGACCAGGCAAAACCTCAGGAGGAAGGGAGGGCCACGCAGGCGGCCGTGGCCGTGGTGGACACGTTCATCTGGCAAGCCTTGGCCTCCGTGGCCATTCCCGGATTCACCATCAACCGCATCTGCGCAGGGTCCCTCTACCTCATGGGCAGCTTGACCCGCTGGCCACTCCCTGTCAGGAAATGGACGACGACGGCCGTTGGGCTTACGGCCATTCCTTTCATCATCAAGCCTATCGACAGGTATGAGCTGTCGGCCAGCCCCTTGGTTAAGGGGAGCAGAGTGGTTCTGACCCAGCTCCTCAGACACGACAAACCCTCTGTAGTTGAAGCAATGGCTCCTTGATTAGGAGCGCCGGCAGCCCCGGCAAAAAGTTTCTCTCTCACCGCAGGCTAACAAGTCCGTCCAGCAGGGAGATGAATAATTGTCTGTCACATTTATTCATCTCCGCCCTCTGCCTTTTATCCCCAGAGCTAGGGTGGGGCCTCGCTAGCAGCGGTGTCTCTTCTGTCCTGAGGACCGGCCCATAGATTTCCACTGCTCTCCTCTCCTCTGCATTCTGTGCATCTGTGTGTCAGGCACTGGACCCAGCTGTTCCTCCTCTTCCTCATCAGCCACCTCCAGACCTGGGAGCTGTTGATGCTCCATCTGAGGGCTGATGGACGCCTCCTCTGATTCGGGTCCTGGAGAGGCTGGCGGCCGACAGGCCACAAGAGCTGAGCGTCATAAATATGAGCCAGAAGCCAAGCATCTTTAATTTTGATCGCGGGGATGCCACGACAGTCTTAAGTGTGAAAAGTGTCCTAAGTCACTTTTTCCCTTGCCGTTGTAACTTTGGTCACTAAACCGACTGTTGTAAGTGGAGAACTATCCGTACGGCAGCGATTCTCAAGTTCCCGAGCTTGCGATATACGGGACTGCAGCCCCCCCCCTCTCAACCTCAGGAGCTTTCAGAGGTATGGACTTCAGCTCCCCAGAATCCACCAGTCGCCAGTCGTGCTGGGGAATTCTGGGAGTTGAAGTCCATGCCTCTTAAAGATGCTGAGGTCTAGAAGCCAAATTGCGTTTTCCAGATTCTGGAATTCATAATATGGTGTGGGATATTTTTATATGTATGTATGTATGTGTGTGTGTGTGTGTGTGTGTGTGTGTATGTATGTATAGTTAATATATATTTATATACAGTTTGCCTTTCTGGAAGTATGAATTCCTTTTAAGAAAAACCTTGTTTTTAATTCCTTCTCTCCCTCTCTCTCTTTCCCTTCCTCCCTCTCTCTGTCCCTCTCCCTCCCTTTCTCTCCCTCTCTCCCTCCCCCTCTCTCCTTCTCTCTACCTTCCTCTCTCTCCTCTCTCTCTCTCCTTCCCTCCCTCCCCTGTCCCTCTCCCTCCCTCTCTCTCCTCTCCCTTCCTCCCTCCCTCTCCTTCCCTCCTTCCCTCTCCCCCCCTGTCCTTCCCTCCCTCTCTCTCCTTTGCTCTCTCCTTCCTCCCTCCCCGTCCCTCTCCCTCCCTCTCCTCTCCCTTCCTCCCTCCCTCTCCTTCTCTCTCCCTCTCCTTCCCTCCTTCCCTCTCCCTCTCCTTCCCTCCCTCTCCTTCTCTCTTCCTCCCTCCCTCCGTCCCTCTCTCTCCTTCTCTCTCTTCCTTCCTCTCTCTCCCTCTCCCTCTCTCCTTCCTTCTCCCTCCCTCTCTCCTCCCCTCCCTCCCTCCCTCTCTCTCTCCTTCTCTCTCTTCCTCCCTCTCTCTCTCTCTCTCCTTGGCTGTCATACAGGTCCGTGGATTTCTTAATGGATTCCAGCCTTCGCAAACTTTACAAAAGCGATGAGAAGCCGCCTTCGTTTTGAGAGGGCCGGTCCGGTGTTTTAGAGATCTACCTCCACTACCTCTTCCCTCTAGGATCCACACAGAAATGGGTTCAGTGGTGGATCAGGGGAACAGATCCGTTCGGTTGGGTTTTGGGGAAGGGAGCGAATCAAGCATGGGATGAGATTTTCCTTCAAAGTACGTTCAGGTGCTGGGGAGCAAAAACGAAGAGCTGGATGTTGATTTCAGCTCCATCTTCAGATCTTTTTTCAAAAAAAACGGGTCTTATTTAATTAAAAAAAGATAATAAGGTACAGTTCTGAGAACAAGCTTGGATTTTAGAGCAGTGGCTCCCACGTGCTTATCGATTATCAATTTTTTTGTTTTTAAGTTTTTACTTTTTTTTTTTTAATAATGTAAGCCACACCCAAATTTACCTGGAGTTGGGTGTCCTTTAAATTCTAGTAAATAAGTGTCTAGTAGCAAGGATGAGCAAGAAAGCAGCACACTGTTTTCTCCTACGCTGTGAAGTCCACCGAGGAATTGCACTAATTAGCTAATGATTTAATTGCCCTGAAATTTGCAACGAATGGAGTTGTTTTCAGGTCCACGGATTTCTCACTCACCTCACTGTTAAAAATGAACGTCTTAAAAATAAAGGGGAAACAAATTGACCTTGGCTGTTCCTTGCATTCCATCGTAGCACCGTAGCGCAGAATTACAGATATCCGTCACGTACAAGAAGTCCTCGATTTACAATCAAAATTTCCATTACCAAGTGAGACCGTTGGGAGTTTTGCCCCCATTTTACGGCATATTTTTTTGTCAAGAATCACTCCCGTCGTTAAGTGAGTAACCCGGTTGTGTTAAGTGAAACTGGCTTCCTCGTCAATTTTGCTGGTCTGAAGGTTGCAAAGGAGGGGGGGGTCACGTGACACACACACACACACCCCTGGGGACACTGCAACCGTCATAAACGCGAACCGTTTGCCAAGCGTCTGAATTTGGATCATGTGACCGCCCCCCGGGGATGCTGCAAAGGTCGTAAGTGTGAACAACGGTCACAAGTCACTTCTTTCAGTGCGGTTGCAACTTTGAACAGTCTCTGAACGAATTGTTGTCAGTCGAGGACTGCCTGAATAATAGAGAATAGGAAAGACTCCCTTCTACCCCCCACTCTTGAGTTAAAATGTCTTTTCCATATGTCCCTTTAGCCACACCAAAAAATGTTAAGGGCAGCGGTGGGTGTCACATTTTCTTGCTACCAGTTCGCCCCGCATGTGCTTTGCTCGCACACGTGCCTCTTCCACACAGGGACCCAGCCTCAAAACTCTGCCTAAATAGGACGGCAGAGAGTCGGGGCGGGTGGGCCAGGGGTGAGTTGCCCCCGGTTCGGACCGGATCGCAAGAACCGGTAGTAAAACCGGCCGGAGGTCCTGCCCACCGCCCTGGATGTTGTCATCAGTGAACTGTGCGTGCGTAGAAGCAAGGCGCGCGCGTAGCGAAGCAAGGCGCCCGCGTGAGCGAAGGAAGGCACCCGTGTGATCCTGTTGAGAATCGGTAGTAAAGGTAAGTAGAACCCACCCCTGGGGTGGGCGGGCCTACCCACTACCACTACCGTTTCGCCCAAACCAGTGGTGGGTTGCCACCGGTTCGGACCGGTTCGCAAGAACCGGTAGTAAAACTGGCGGGAGGCCCCGCCCACTGCCCTGGATGTCATCCTCGGCGATCTGCGCATGCGCAAAAGCTGTGCATGTGCAGAAGCAAGGCACATGTGCGGAAGCATGACGCGTGCGAAGAAAGGCACGCACGTGTGCAATCCTGTTGCAAACTGGTAGTAAAGATAAGTAGAACCCATTCCTGGCCCGAACCGGTACGAACCGGCTGAATACCATCTCTGGTTAAAGGGAACGTGTCAACCACAATAGTGCCGAGAAGCAGCCTTCCCTGGAAGAACCACGTCGACAAAATAACTGCTTTACAGATTGCAGTCTTATCGATTTATATCGCAGGATATTAAATAAACCGCAGTTGGCTGCATTCATCCGAGAAATTTCAGCACAAAAAAAAAAGGGTTTAATCCAACCAAATTAAATAGGAGCCATAAAGACCCCCGGGGGAATTTATTAACTAGCGTGATTTTTCGGCTTTTTAAATCCTCACCTACACGGTTTATTCTTTTTTCCCTGGGGTCTCGCTCTTGAGCTTGCAGTAATCAATGCTGGATTCCTTCTCGATCTCTTCCGTCTCGATGGAAGCTCCCACCATCGTCTGCAGCTCCGTGTGGAAAGGCTGCTCCTTCTGGGTCCTCAGGCGCCTGGGCCTGATCACGACGCCAGAATAGCGCAGCACAGCCAGGATCAAAGCTACGAGGACCCCGACAAAGAAGGCAGCCAAGATGCAGCTGCAGACAAAGGCCACGGTTACCAGTAGCATCCTTTTCACGGTCTGGCATTTCCCTGCGGAGGAGGAGAAGGAGGGAGAAGTTGTCTGGGTACAAATAGTTTTAGAAAATAATCATCGAAGTGTTTACAACAGGGATCAGCAATCTGCAGCTCTGGAGCCGCATGTGGCTCTTTCACCCCTCTGCTGCGGCTCCCCGTCACTCAAAATATGTGTCACAACCGCCAATGTGCGACACCCGCCGGCACGCAATTTATTGAGCTTTTCCATCCCCTGGTAGGCCAAGCATGGATAAATCGAAGAAAAGAAAAGTTTCAGAAGAAAACAGAATCTTTAATTCAACTACATAGGCTAGTTTTGTGGCCGCTCAAGAAATAGTCAGGCACAGGGAAGGTTTTGTGGCTCCCGGTGTTTTCTTTTCTGTGGGAAACAGGTCCAAATGGCTCTTTGAGTGTTTAAGGTTGCAGACCCCTGGTTTACAACAATATTCATTACATTGATATTAATTCTATAATCATCATCATCATGCTTGCTTATCCATTTTAACAAACCTCCCTTTTTTCCTTGGTCCTTTTTTTATATTTCCCTCTTTCTTTCTTTCTTTCTTTCTTTCTTTCTTTCTTTCTTTCTTTCTTTTTAATTTTTATTCATAAACATTTTTGGAAAACAGCGCCTTGTCAAGATAACATTTACAAATAGGGCAAAACTAAAGAAAAGTTGATAGTAAATCTAAGAACACAATAAGAATGATGTGTTCGATGCCTATTTTTTTTTCCATTGAAATTGACATTGTTATCTTTTAAATCAATATTAGAATCATATGTATAAATGGTAAATTGAAGGAAGGGAGAAAAATGAGATGTGCGAAATGTTTACTGAGGCGAAAATGTTGAATTGTAAAAATTTCTTTTTTATTGTTTTTTTAAAAAAAAACTTTAATAAAAAATATTTTTTTAAAAAAAATTAAGACAAAAAAGAATAATATAATAACAGTAATTATAATACTATAACCAAAACAACTTAAATTACATTTCTTCTTGCTGTCCGCTAAATGCTTGAAATTCAACCAGACTCCAGGCACCTACTACCACATGTGGTGGACGTGCAGTAAAGCAAGAAAATACACACCCAATTTCTGCAACCGTTCTTTGTTTTAGCCTCCAGCTCTCTAATCATCTTTGTGGCTCTTCTCTGCACTCTTTCCAGAGTCTCAACATTTTTTTATATGGTTCAGAGCGAAGCCATGGGTCATTTTTTTTAAAAAATTTGATTTATATGCCGCCCTTCTCCGGAGACTCAGGGCGGCTTACAATGCGTTAAGCAATAGCCTTCATTCTTTTGTATATTTTATACAAAGTCAGCTTATTGCCCCCACAAACTGGGTCCTCATTTCACCTACCTTAGAAAGGATGGAAGGCTGAGTCAACCTTGAGCCTTGGAGAGATTCGAACCAGCAGAAATTGCAGGCAGCGTGTTAATGACAGGGTGCACTAAACCACTGTACTATCAAGGCTCTTGCTACATCTGTTCCTCCTCTGGTCTCCATTTCCTTATAGGGACCCCTCCTAGTTCAGTTCTTCAGCCTCCATCCTGCCCCATAAGTGACTAATAAGTAAAAATCTGGAAAGATACCCACCTTCCAGCCAGGAGACATCTTCTTTGTGGACTTTGAGTGGACCAAGGAGTTCTCGGCGCGATATCCCTTCACCTGGAAACCCTGAACGGGACAAAACACACCACGCTTAGTGATGGAGGAAGGGGAAACCAAGGAAATCACAGCAGCAAATATTTGCCTAAATTTCTGTAGGAATTAAAGCTGCATTCTGAGCTTCAAGGGAGAGCAATTTGGAGTCTTCAGAAGGTTCTGGAGCCACTCTAGGCTGAGCTGTGGAGCCCGCTCTATGGCTTAACCACCTTTGGCCATACAGGTTATTATTTTTCCTTCTGTCATTAAAAAATATCCCAATAAAAGAAAACTGGAGACAGCAATACAAAAACAATTCTTACTTTTAAGATGCAGAGGTTTGTTTCATGAGCAATTTGAGACAGGAATAGCCAGGATACCATTAAAGGAAGTGACTGGCCCAGCATCACCTAGCTGACTTTAGGCAGGACTAGAACTCACGGTCTCCCATTATCTAGCCTGATGCCTTTAACCATTATACCAAACTGGTTCTTAACCAGATCCAAATACAAGGATTTCCTCAACACCAAAAGTGATAAAAGAGGAAGAAGAGGAGGAAGAAGAGGAGGAGGAAGAGGAGGAAGAAGAGGAAGAAAAAAAGAAAAGAGGGGGGAGGAGGAGAGGAGAAGGAGAAGAAAAAGAAGGGAGGGAGAGGGGGAGGAGAAGAAGAAGAAGAAGAAGAAGAAGAAGAAGAAGAAGAAGAAGAAGAAGAAGAAGAAGAAAAGAGAGGGAGGGAGGGAGAGGGGGAGGAGAAGGAGAAGGAGAAGAGGAAGAGGAAGAGGAAGAAGAAGAGGAAGAGGAAGAGGAAGAGGAAGAAGAAGAAGAAGAAGAAGAAGAAGAAGAAGAAGAAAAGAGGGGGAGGAGGAGGAGAAGGAGACGAAGACACAAAGAATGGCTTATAAACCATAGGCATGATGTTCACACTACACAGAAAATTCAGAACATGGAAATCACTTTGTAATTTTGTGTGTTGGGTGGAACTTGTTGCCGTTCGGCGTAAATGTGATAAGATACAGAAGACCAGCGGGTACCTCTGAGATGCCCACGAGGAGGAGGTTCGTAGTGGCAGTAGCTGTCACAACAGTTGCAGATGGACGACTTGGAGAGTTCATCCAGATTCTTCCACCTTCGGAAAATAATCCAAGCAACACTTTTACTATTTATTTTTTTTTTGGAAAAAAATGTATTTTTATTTTTAAATAAACATACATCAAAACATAAAACCATCTTCAATTACACACAGTGTGTCAGTTGGTTACAAATCTTTTGTGCGTCTTCACCATAGCTTACAGTTTACCTAAATTCTTATATTATTGATCTAATATATATCTATGTATTATTATCCTCATCATTTATTTCACTGTAGCTATTCTTCCCTCCTTTTGTACAAAACGTTCTAAGATTTGAGTGAATGTATATTATAACATTCATTTCGTCATCCTGAATCGATCCAATAATAATAATAATACATCTTTATGTTATATTTTATATAGTTCTACAATTCTTGTATTATAAAAATCTCTATCATATTTCATTTCCATATTTTTTTTAATCTAACCACTGATAAAATAAAAGGAGCCTTGGTAG